TTTTTTTTTCTAAATTTTTATCATTCATTTGTTTATTTAATTATAAACAAATAGTTGTGATATTTTTTATTGGTTATAATAATTTGTTATCCATAAGTCGATGGTGATGGATCGTAAGTCTAAATTTATTGGTGACAGAATATATCTCCTCTCTGTTATATTTTGTATTTTAAATTCCTTCGCTCTCAATTCGTATGATGACTACGTTTACAATTGTCTTTCTTATAAATTATCAGAATTTATATTTATCCGTATTTACAGATTTTCATAATTACATCAGATATCAACATTTATTGGTCTATATTTACAGATTTCCATATTTTAAGTTTACGAATATTACTGACTGTCTATTTTTTTATGTTTCTAGATTTATAATTGTCTTTTTTTCGACTTGTCTGAATTTATTCTTTTCTTTTTTTTTTAAATATCAGTCATTTTAGATGTTTATATTCTGATGCGTCTAATTTCACGGAAATCTTTTTTTTTGATTTTATAATTTTACGCTTATTTTTTTAAAAATAATTCTAATTATTTTGATTACTACATTTTTTCATTGCTATTTTTTAACTAATCGATATTGCAAAGTATCCTTAATAAGACACATCATTTTTTTCATTATTTCTGAAATTTTATTTTTCCATATTTTTCATTTATTGATTTCCTTACTAACAGATTTCCAAAATTTGATGTTTCCATTTTCTGTAAAATTTCCGACCGTAAAGAATCAATGAAACGCATTGTACATCCAAAGTTTGTTTTTTTTTTTTTTTTTAAGAAATGTAATAAATTAAATTAATAAATTAAATAATTAATTAAATTAATAAAATTAAATAAATAAAAAAAAAAAAAACCAAAAAATTTCAGCCGAAAAAATTAATTAATTAATTATTTCTCCAAGAGAATACTTGGAATTAACAGCTAGTTAACTTAGAGCCATTTAATTACAATTAACAAAAAAGAAAAAAATTTTTTTTTCTCTCTATACACATGCGCGTTGTGATCTCAGCCGATGCTTAGCTTAGTGAGTAAAAAAATACCGTAAAATATTTGAAATAAAAATAAGATTAATTAACAGTAATTAATTGCTTTTTCATCATTTTTTTATTGAGCGTTATAAGTCGTATATATTTTTATATTTTAAAAATTCTTTTACTTTTTTGTGACAGTACAAAGTCTTAACACACCTACACACGCACATGACTCATAAAAAATGAATAATATTGAGTAATATAACTAAATCGTTATTATTTCAAATGAAATTTCACACGTTGACATAACATAATGAACAACCTCCCGACTATTCCGTCAAAAGTAAATATAGTTGACTCATAATTTTTTGACGCTTTATATTTACGGTAACAACTGGAATTTTTCTGTACCATTAACAACTGGTACCTTACACGGTTGTTTTCGTGGATATATATAAAATTAGTGTAAGCATGTGTAAATATTTTAATGTGATTATTTTTACGGTTTTGGCTGCTGGCATACAGGTAATTAAGAGTGTATTTTTTAATTTTTTTAATTCTCCACAAAAAGAAAAATTTCTTCAAGAAGTTGTGTTGGCCGTAGTAAAAATTTTTCTTTAAATTCTATTCTTGGTCGAAGTTAATTTTTCTTAATTCAAATTATCATAAATACTTGGTACAATGGAATAAGTGAAATTTCTTTTTAAAAAAATAATTTTTTTTTTTGCTCAAGAAACTAATTAGGAAAAAAAATATTAACTTAGCTGTTAAAAAACTGAAAATAAAATAAATTCATCATTTCTTACTTCGTATTACTCTTTTTTTCAGGATGTCTATGGAAATTCAGGAGTCAACTCGCAAGAAGTAGTACTCAATCGCTCAGATAATGATTTTCCGAATTTTGATATATTAAATGTGTTTATTGAAGGAGAGCCTAAGAATAATGAGCATCATAGGCAAATTGTAGTTTATATTAACGAGAAATTGTTAATTGTAGATTCTTATGACGACGGATTTTCATTTTCTTTGAATAGTCTCAAGCCGACGTACAATGGCGTAAGTAATAGTCTGTAATTTTTTTTTTTTTAATTGAGCATAAACACATTTTATCATGCGTGAGATTTGAATTGATTTAAAACAACTTTGAAACGTTAATAATAAAATAATATATAATTAAGAAATTACCTTTTATCTTGTGAAATATTGACATTTTTTAAGATATAAGCTCATCCCGATGTTACACTTATCAAGACCTTTCATTTGAGTACCCACATGCATTTTTGATATATTTTTCATATATACATATATATTTAATATATATAAATATATAAAATATATGAAAAATTAATGTGGGTACTCAAATGAAAGGTCTTGATGAGCGTAATGTCGGGATGACATATCTGTAAAAATATCATTAGTTGACAAAATACAAGGTAATTTCTTAATTATTGATATTTTTGAAGATATACACTCATCCCGATGTTACACTCATCAAGAGCTTTCATTTAAGTACCCACATCGATTTTTCATATATTTTATATATTTATATATATATTAAATATATGTATATATGAAAAATATATCAAAAATGCATGTGGGTACTTAAATGAAAGCTCTTGATGAGTGTAATATCGGGATGAGCTTATATCTTCAAAAATATCGATAATTAAGAAATGACCTTGTATCTTGTAAACTATTGACATTTTTAAAGATATAAGCTCATCTCGATGTTACACTCAGCGAGACCTTTCACTTGAGTACCCGCATCAATTTTTCATATATTTTATATATTTATATATATTATATATATGTATATATGAAAAATATATCAAAAATACATGTGGGTACTCAAATGAAAGCTCGTGACGACTGTAACATCGGGATGAGCTTACATCTTTAAAAATATCAATAATTAAGAAATGATATGTGGCATCCAACTATTCGTAACGTGATTGGTCGAATATATCATAAGCATGAAAATATATGCAAACTCTATAGTCAAGCGCGCGCTTGCGCGCGAAAATTTGAATTCTAGTATCTTAAAAAGCACCCCACGCTTTTTTTAAAATAAAATACATTTTTTTTTTATTCACACTATTATTAATTTATATTTATTGAAATTTTTAACACTATTCTTAATTAAAATTTTTTGAACTATTATTTATTCTGTGTATCATACTTTTGAGCTCGGAGAGCTCAAAATGACACACATTGTATTTTTGAGCTCGAACAGCTCAAAAACGTAATAATTGAAATGTTGAGCGCTTAGGTACGGAGTTAGCGGGAAGTTGCAGAGATGGCATTTAGGGTAAACCGTTTTCCAATTTTTACGTCTGTATTTTTGAAATATTAATAAATATTTTATAAAAAAATACTAAAAATATTAATTGCCTTTTTTAACTTCAAGAATTACCTTAAATTCAAGCTTCTGGACTAGAATACCCCCTTACTATTAATATATCCGACGATATACTTAATATGTAAGTGGACAAATTTTGAATAGTTACATTTATGAAATTATTTTTTATGAAAATTTATGAAAATTAATGGATTTTTGGCTTACCTTAGAGTAAATATTCTGACAGTTAAAGTCAATAGCTTCATTGGGCATACTTTCGACACTGATATCACATTCCAAATTGGGAAATCCACGTTTAATAGATAATCTATTGCGAAGCTCATTCTTCACGTTCCATTTAATTTTGAAATTATAGTGTCTTTTGCTATCAGCAATTTGAACTACCGGGTCTTTTATCGACCAATTTTCTATATCTTCAGGTTTCAAAAATACCAAATATTCTTCAAGAGTCGGTAAGTACTTTTTAAGTGCTTCTGCCGCGAAAAATTGAATTTCTTTATTATTATTTTAAAGTTTTAGTACAATTGACTGCGTGCTACTTATTTGTTTAATTATTGTGATACACAATACACAAAAAAATAGTATTTGACCCATTTTTTAAGCAGTAAATATTTGAAATTACTTCAAGTTAGAAGATTAAAAATTCTAGTGATTCGAAAACAATTTTTAATTTAACTTTCAATTTAAAACTCTAATGGTAGTCATTTAATACGTTGGTTAATTAGATTAGCTGAAAAATTAATTAGATATATTTATGGTATCAAATTGATGTCATTAAGATATAATTAATCTTCAAATACTAATCAATCTAATCATTTAATCTATAGCTTGACGGAGGCTCTATCTATTTTTGTAAAATTAAATAAATTTTTAATTATGAAGTATGTTGTAATAAAAATAAAACAATAATTAAATTTTACATAAAGTATTGTATTCAAAAATAATATACAATATTATTTGTTGTTATTATTATCATAAATGTTTATATATACTACATATCAATAAAAGTACAATAAATTAAGAAAAAGAAAAGAAATGCATTGACAAAAAAAATTCATTCACTCAAAAGCTTAATTCATATATATATATATATATATATATAGAAATATAATATTATATAATTATACCTATAATATATAAAATTAAAAAAGAAAAATGTGTATAATATTTAAATTTTTTCCACGCGCCATATTTTAGTATTGCAGTCTTGGCCAACGGAAATTAAATTTTCTTCGTCCAGCCACACGAGTCGCGTAATTTGACTTTGAGGGTGCGCATCTGTAAATAATATATGTAAATTATTAATAATGTAATTTAATTTAATTTCATTATTTTGAGAAATAATTAATATTTACTTTTAATAATTGTATGTTTAGCAGGATTTGTCACGCTCCAAATAATAATAGTGGTATCCAAGCTACCACTTGCAACCAATGTTGAGTCTGTGTTCCAGGCAACTGTGTTTACGCGGGCATTATGGAAGCCCCATTCTCGATTATGAGCAAGCTGAAAGAGAATAATTTTTTTTTTTTATTTATTAATAATATAAAAATTTTTAATAATTCGTCCGGATAATTAATTTATTAAGATTTTGTACTTACACCCTAATTATCCATTTGGATGAATTAAAATTTAGAAATTATTTTAAATTAGTCAATCAATTAATATTGATTTATTAAGAAAAATAATAATAATTAGTAACCTTGCAGTCACTACGTGACTGCCGTGAATGTGAACTATAAGTAAATAAAATTTTACTTTATTAAATAATGACTTTTGTTAAATTGATGTGGGTACTCAAATGAAAGGTCTTGATGAGTGTAACATCAGAATGAGCTTATATCTTTAAAAATGTCAATAATTAAGAAATTATATTATATTTTATCAACTTATGATATTTTTAAAGATATAAGCTCATTTTTAAGCTACACTCATCGAGACCTTTCATTTGAGTACCCACATCAATTTTTCATATATTTATATATATTATATATAACATATATGTATATATGAAAAATATATCAGAAATGCATGTGGGTACTCAAATGAAAGCTCTTGATGAGCATAACATCGGTATGAGCTTATATCTTTAAAAAATTCAATATTTAATAAAGTTCAGTGCAATTTAACAAAGTTCATTATTTAATAAAGCAAAATTTTATTTATTTATATTTCACAAGTCACGGCAGTCACATAGTGATTGCGAGGTTGCTAGTAATTATAATAATAATAATAATAATAATAATAATAATAATAATAAATTTTACCTTATACTCAGGAACAACGTAGAGAATAACCTTGCGATTAGCATCACAAGCGACAAGATATTTATGATCAGGACTGTAAGCAACGTCAGTAACAGGTCCAAGATGCTCTAATTCAGTCTTAAAAGTCAGTGAGGTGCCTGATTGGTTGTAGATGTAAACTTTATTGTCTGATGATGATCCAACTGCTACGTCACCATTGCTTGGATTTACACCGACACAAGACGCTTCATAGTCGATCGGAAGTTTTGAAATTTTACGTCCGTCTTGGGTTAAGTTGATCTTCAAAAAAACAAACATTAAAATTATCAAGAAATTTTTCAAGTTTTTTAAATACTACACAGTAAAAAATTTTGCGTCAATGTGTTGAATATTTAAAACGAAATTTTTTACAAGTGTATTTTGATGAGTACGTACCTGCCTGAGGGATGCGGTTATGACGATGTTATTGTAGATATCAAGCCCACGGGGCTGTGAATCGAGTTTGATTGTCAACGATTCTGAGTAGGCGTTTGTCGCAATATCAACAGCGCGAATTGTATCATCAATACCGGCAGTGTAGAGTAAATTTTCGGCGGCTTTCATCCCGTTTATCTGATTGCCGTGGCCTTGACCTGATACGCGGTCATTTTCACCGGTTTTTGCGTTCCAATTGGTGATGTATCCATCGTGTGAGCCGGTGTAAATTGTTTCTCGGTCGGGACTCAATGTTAGAACGGTGATTGGCTTGTTGTGACCCTGAAAATTATCTATATTAGATACATACAAGAAATGACCTTGTATCTTATGGCCTATAAACATTTCTAAAGAGATAAACTCACCATGATGTTACACTCGTTGAGACTTTTCATTTGAGTACCCACATCAATATTTGATTTTTTTTATATATTTATATATATTATCTATATGTACACGGAATGAACAAGATGACACTGGATACCATCTCAGATTATACCCAGTGACATCTGAGGCGAAAATTTTTTTAGATGATAGCTAGTACAATCCAGATTATACTGAATAATATCTGGATTATACTCATTGTAATCTGAATTATACTCATTGTTATCTGGATTATACTAGCTACTATCTGAATTTTTTTTTCACTCAGTATAATCTGGGATTATATCCAGTATAATCTTGTTCTTTCCGTGTATATATGAAAAATATATCAAAATGCATGTGGGTACTCAAATGAAAGCTCTTGATGAATGTAACATCATGATGAGCTTATATCTTCGAAAATATCAATAGTTAAGAAAGTACAGTGTAATTTAATAATACTCATTATTTAATAAGGTAAAAAGTTATCTAGAACTTACCTTAACTATTCTCAGAGGTTTTGTTGGATCATTAACGTTGAGATAATTAATAAAACCACTCAACGACACTGATAATAAATGATCGCCTTGCCAAAGACAACTAACTTGTTGATCATCAACCGTGGATCCCATATGAAATTCCGTGATGAGAGTACGGGTTTCAACGTCCCATAATTTACAAGTTTTATCACCTGAAGCCGTTAAAATTTGCGTGCCATCCGGTTTCCAGGCAACCTAATTAAAAGTATGAATTAATTTTTTTTTCAAGTCCTTATCTATTGAAAAAAAAATTTGGAAATAAATTTACCCCGTAAACTCCGCCTTGATGCGCTGGTGAACCAACTTCGCCGACAAGATCAGAAGTATTGCCATCGTAAATAAAAACTTTACCGTCGAAGCCAGCTGACGCAAATAAATTACCGGTTGGTGAGTAACGAACTGCTTGAACAAATCTTGAATGTTCTTGTTTTGTCATCCTAAAAAAAAATTTTTATTAATTATAATTGTTGCTTAAAAAAAAAAAATTATCATTTTAATAATTAAAAGAAAAAAATAAGAATAATTTACTTGAATTTGAATGGAGGTCCTTCGAATATTGCAATTGTATTATCTTCACTACCGGTAATTAATCTGAATGGTCTACTGGGCTTAAAGTCACATGAGTTTATTGGTTTACTTTGCCCAGATATTTCTCCCACTGAAGTTCCGGTATCAGCCATAAACACATGACCAAATCTAAAAAATATAAAAAAAAAAAAAATAATTTCAATAATTATTTCATTAAAAATATATTTATTTTTTAACGATATAAGCTCATTCCGATGTTAAACTCATCAAGAGCTTTCATTTGAGTACCCACATGCATTTTTGATATATTTTTCATATATACATATATATAATATATATAAATATATAAAATATATGAAAAATTGATGTGGGTACTCAAATGAAAGCTCTTGATGAGTGTAACATCGGAATGAGCTTATATCTTTAAAAATCTCATTAGTTGACAAGATACAATGTCATTTCTTAATTATTGAAGTTTTGAGTCGTTCAATTATAAAAAATTATAATATATTATTTGATTGGACAAAAAAATTTTTATATTAATTAAAAGAAATAAAATAATTTACCGTTCACGACCTTCACCAACGACAACCATCCTCTGACTATCAGGTGACCATGCAATATCTTTGATTGGTCCACCAATTGGATGAAATTCATTCTTCAAGATATGTTCTTTGTTCACGGTATCCCAAATTCTTATTTTTCCAGATTGATCTATTAAACATCCGACATATTAATAAAACAATCTCATTAAATATTTATTAAGCAGTTAAATTATTAATAGAAATGAATTACCTCCAGACGCGATGTAAAATCCGCTGGGCGAATATTTAGCAACATTTACCGCGCATGAATGCTCTGTATAAATATCAGCTATCGCTGGGTTCTGAAAATAGTTTATAATTAATTAGTAGACAATTTTAATTAGTGCTTTGATTGTACTAGTTGTATTCTTACATTGATGTTCCTTATAATAACACTATTTCCGTTGGTATATAAAAAATTATTTCCTTTTGGGTCGCCACCGAGAACTAATGGTGCTCCTCGTTGAGTACGTGGTAATGCGGAAAATATGTACCCTGGGAATAAAAGTACAATTAAAAGAGGCATTTCGTAGAATTTTTATAATCTATATTATTAAGAGAATAAGAAAAATTTTATGTCCAGGATAATCATATAATAAAATCGGTTTTTATTAGTGAAATTTAGTGTCATTGCAAAGGTCTTGATTTGAATTTGCGCTTTTTCAAAGTTTCATATTATTTTCACTGATAGTCAATTTATTATGATAAGTATTTAGGCTGGATTCAAAAATGCTCTATCTCAAGATAGATAAGTAAGAAATGACCTTGTATCTTGGAAAATATTGACATTTTTAAAGATATAAGCTCACCCTGACATTACACTCATCGAGACCTTTCATTTGAGTACCCACATCAATTTTTCATATATTTTATATATTTATATATATTATATATATGTATATATGAAAAATATATCAAAAATGCATGTGGGCACTCAACTGAAAGCTCTTGATGAGTGTAACATCGGGATGAGCTTATATCTTTAAAAATGTCAATAATTAAGAAATGACCTTGTATTTGGTAAACTATTGACATTTTTAAAGATATAAGCTCATTCTAACATTACATTCATCGAGACCTTTTATTTGAGTACCCACATCAATTTTTCGTATATTTATATATATTATATATATATGAAAAATATATCAAAAATGCATGTGGGTACTCAAATGAAAGCTCTTGATGAGTGTAACATCGGGATGAGCTTATATCTTTAAAAATGTCAATGATTGAAAAATTACATTATTTTTTGTTAACTATTGACATTTTTAAAAATATTAGCTTATCCTGACATTACACTCATCGAGACCTTTCATTTAAGTACCCACATCAATTTTTCATATATTTGTATATATATCACATATATATCATATATGTATACATGAAAAATATATCAAAAATGCATATGGGTACTCAAATAAAAGCTCTTAATGAGTGTAACATCGGGATGAGCTTATATTTTTAAAAGCGTCTCTAGTTAAGAAAGTACAGTGCAATTTACCAAAAGATAATTGCAAATTTTTATTTAAACTATCAATAATAATTATTTTCAGAGAAATAAAAATTTATCTGCTTTATTGTTGTTTGAATTATATCTTATTTTGTAATAAAGATAAGTTTATAATCATTCATTAAATAGATAATAGTTATCTTTTCATGTGTACACCAAAATGAGATATTTATTACTTGAATTAAAAAAAACTAATTTGTAAACATTGAATAATAATAACAGTGAATTTATAACTTTACATATTAACAAAATTAAATTTTATTTAAAAATTGTTTTAAATTATCACATTTGCCTAAAGAAAAAAATTTTCTATTAAAGATTTTTTATCAGACTAATTTTTACAATTATTCTTTTCTAATCAGTAATAAGAAAGCTTTCTTGCTAACTTGCCGGGTCTATTCTTAGTCATACATTTTTTTTATTTTTTTTTTTTTTTTATAAATGTAAAATAGTAATAATTAATGTAAATAGTAATAATTAAAATTTTACTCACTAATTATTTTAAAATTTGTGACAAATAATTCATAATATAAATTGGCGACAATCCAAAAATATATTTTAAGATTTTACGCATTTTCTTATAAATAAATTTGAATAATTTTCAACATTTTATAAATTTAAATCGACCAATTTAATTATTATATAAAATTTTAAACAAAATTATCAACATTTTAAATAAAATAAATTTTTAATAAAAAATTTCTCAAATCCAAAATTAATAAAATACAATTAAAATTATCTGTAAAAAAAAAATACCTAATAATAGGAAGATAATAATAGTGAATATAAAAAGAAAGTTTAATTTTGTTGGTATATTTAAGCGTCGAGGGCAATGACACAGGAATGTAGAGTAAAAAAGAGTAAAAAAATTTACTCAGAAATTTTAGTTAAAAAAAAAAAAAAAAATTACTTTTAAAAAAAAAATTTTAATTAAAAATCCGAAGGATTAAAAATTAGTTTTAATTTTTAAGTAAATAAATAAAGTGTAAAAAAAGTGAAGAGTACTTACGCGTTTCGTATGACATTTTTCCCGGCTTTGTTTTTAGGCAGAAAAACGGCTAGTAAAAAAATCCCTGAAAATTTAGTAAATAAAATAAATTTATTGAAAAAATATTTTTTTAACGAGTAATTTAATTTAATAAATAAATAATTATATTTTTTTTTATAAAGTAAGACACGCGATCGCAATCTCACGATTACTCACTATTCACACTCTTTTGATGTTTGATGGGCTGCTGGCGACTCTGTACTGTGTATATTGGTATGTAAGCATAGAAAGATAAATATAGATATAAAATAAATGTGTATTTTTATTAAGTATAATATATGTATAGTGTAGATATAAGAGTGTAAGCTGAAGACTACAGGCTACAGAAATATAATCCGCCCTTTCACGCTTAATCACAAATTTATATCATAGATTATTTTTATATTAGATGCTCAATTCTTAGTTTTGTAAATATAATAATATTTCAAATTATTATTGTTATTTTAGAATTCAAAATTTATTGACACTTGGTAAGTTTTTGTTTCTAGGGTTTTTTACAAGATGGCGGTAAGTGTTAAGTAAAAGCGCGTAATTTAAAATTTTTTAATTTTATTATCTTTAATATAAAAATGAAGTTAGCCGACATTTCAAAATTTTTAGAAATTTTTTATTTAAATAATATCAATTAAACAATTAAAAAAAAAATTTCACATGTAAAGAACTTGAAAAACTATAAGTGCAATTTTTCATAAATATTTTTTTTAGTTGTAATTTAATTAATAAAAAAAATCAAAATTTATTAGACGTCTGCTAACTTCAGTATCATTCTTTAATTTATAATATTAAAATTAGCCGATGTTTTTAGTTTTTTTGATTTATTTTCATTATTTAATAAGAACTAAAAATTATTTTTAAAAATTTGCACTTACAGTTTTTAAAGTTTTTTACGAATGAAATTTTTTTTTTTGCAACAATTTTTTCAATAAAAAAAAATTTTTAAATTTAAATTTTTAAATTAATTGTAAAAGAAGTTTTAAAAATTTGCTTTTTCACAACAATTTAATAGCTATAATTTTAATATTTTTTTCTTATTGTAAATGTAAATAAGTTTTTTTTTATAAAATTTCTTTTTTTAATATAATAGAAATTTTATAAGTAATTTTTTTATAAAAAATTTTAACATAGTAAATTGAGTAAAATTATGTAATTTAGATTTATATAAAAAATGTTATTAGAGATATTGAAATAAGCCGTCAATTTAAAAAAATTTTCTTAATAAATAAATGACAATAGAAAAATGCTTCTAACAATTTTCACTTATAATTTTTATTAATTTTCACAACTGGAACTTTTTAATTAAATTTTTTTTATAATAATTTAATTGCCATAAAATTATAAAAAAATTTTTAATGTCTGTCATCTTCAGTGTCATAATTAGAAGCTGATAAGAAGAAATCATTAAATAAAATAATAAAAACATATTTTAATATTAATTTTGCACGTATAATTTTTTAAATCTTCTAGAAGTGAAGTTTAATTTAAAAAAATTAATTAGTTATTTGATAATATTTTTTTTTAATTTTCTTAATAAAATTATATTTTTTCAATTATAAAATTTTTCAGATGTCGCCTAATTTAATTTTCATAATAATAAAATTATCCGACATTTATAATTTAGCTTCATTAATTAAATTAAAATTAAAATACATTTTTTAAAAAGTCGCGCGCAAAATTTTTAAATTTTCCAAATGTGAAAATTTTATTTTTGTTACAATTATTCCATTAAAAAAATAATAAAAATCTTCCCAAGTCAGCTAATTTGATTTTAATATAAAATAAATAACAAAATTTATCTTATTTTTTAAAAAATTAATAAATTAAATAAACTTACAAAATTTAAATAAATTTTTTTTCGCGGGAATTTCAAATCAGGGATTCCCCCAAAATTAAAAACGCTAAATTATCAACCGTTCGCTACCTATCCAACGAAGACTAGTCTTCTTACCAACATAAACTAAAAAAAATAAAAAAAATGGCCGCAACTGATCACATGAGTAACAACACTACATTTATATATATTTTTTAATTTATAAATATAAAATAAAATTTGTCCACGCGTATAAAACTCACCACATGTAAACCAAAATAATCTTTATAAAAACGAGTGTGTGTATCAGTGCCTAACCAATCAAAAAAAAAAAAAAACAAAATTACCGTAAATAAAAATCAACTCAAATGATGAATGAAAGGTTAAAAAATCAAATATTTATTTATTAGCATTACTAATCACAACTTATATATTTAATTGTTTTCTTCTTTTAAATATTATAATTAAAATCTAAAACAAAGTCAAATAATAGAATGACGTGTTGTATATATGCGAGCCAAAATGTCTCGTCTGAGACATTCTTGTCGTAGCCTCCAGCCATACCTGAAAAGACAATAATAGATTTGGCTGGAACCTACGGTCTGATTAAATAAATAGGATTGTCTCAACACACATACACACACGCATATACTTATTATCTGTCTCTCTCTTTCTCTTTAAAACTTAAACTTAACTTTAACTCCTCCTTGAGTGAACTGACATGACTAAGTAAAGAAGCTAATGTAAGAACTTATAAATTCTAGTATCACACAGTCACGTATTAAATCTCTTACATTAAACGTCCACTCAAAAATTAACTATTATTCTTCTTTATTTATTTATTATTTCTTATTAATTTCTTTTTATCAGGAAAAAAGTACGTAAAAAAATTAACCATTAACATTATTTTACTTTTGGGTTAAATAACCTTTCATTCAGTAGTTTTGAGGTGTGTTTATTTTATTTTATTATTTATTTAATATATGTTGGGAATTTTTTAATAATTGTAGGTAGAATTATATTTATTAATATTATTGAGTTGAATTGAAGATTAGTTTTGTGACTAGTAATATATTTATTAGAGAAGAAAAGAAAGTTTTATAATGGAAGGGCAACAGTTTTGTTTGAGATGGCATAATTTTCAGAATACGTTACTTAGTACATTGCCTAAATTATTGGATGGTGGTTACTTGACAGATGTTACACTAAGTGCTGGTGGTAGGCATATACGTGCTCATAGAATTATTTTATCTGCTTGCAGTTATTACTTCAAAGAATTGTTTAAGGTATTAATGTTCTTTTTTTTTTTAATGCTTTTTTTAATTTATTATTTATTTATTTAATTTTCTTTTAAACTTGCCAAGATAAATTCATGGTCAATTTAATTTTTAAACTTGAAAGTTTAAATTTTTATTAGAAAATTTTTTTTTTTTTATTTAAAAAATTGGTACAAAAAAAATTTTTTAAAAATGTCACTTGTAAAAAACTTGAAAAACTGCAAGTGCAATTTTTTAAAAATATTTTTTTTGTTCTAATTTAATTAATGAAGAAAAATCAAAAAATTAAAAACGTCGGCTAACTTTAGTATTATGTTTATTTATTATTAATTAATTATTTGATTTTTTATTTATTAAATTTTTTTTTTTATTATTATTTTTCAGTTCTGGATTAATTTTAAACGTGAGAAGATAAATTTATGGTCAATTTAATTTTTAAACTTGAAATTTTTAATTTTATCATTAAATTTTTGTTAGAAAAATTTTTTTTAACGCTATTTTTAATTTTTTTTTAACTGTTTATTAATTATTTAATTGATTTTAATTAATTAATATGAATTTTTTATAACTTTAAAATTTTTGATGATTTTTTATTTAAAAAATTTTCAATTTTTTTTAGCGGGAAGATAAAAAAAAATTTTTTACTCATTATAAAAGTTACCAGCTTACGTCAACTAATTAAAGTATTTAATTAATCAGTAATTAATTTAAGAGTTCCAATGCTTGGTATAAAATTGTTTCACACTAATTTTTGACTCCCAAAAAACTTTAAAATTTAAATAAAAAAAATTTTTTATAATTTTTTTAAACTTGTACTAAAACAATTTTTTGATTCCAGGATTTAAGTACTCTGCAACATCCTGTAATAGTATTACCAGGTATGGAGTACTCAAATTTATGTGCATTAGTAACATTTATGTATAACGGCGAAGTAAATATTTATCAAGAACAATTACCAGCACTTTTAGCAATGGCAGATACATTGCATATACGAGGACTCGCAGACATTGCCGGGGTAAGACTAAATAAAATATATTTTTAAAAGTCACTTACCGAATTATTAAATCAGTAATAGATAATAAATAACAACTATCATAGTTGCTTTTGCTACACCCGCTCCTGACATTAATGAAAATAAAATTTTAAATAACAAATGTATTTAGTTAAAGTCGCGAGAATTTTTCATAGGACTACTAATGCCCTTAACTAAATTAATTATTCAAAAACGACTAGACTAATTAAGCACTTTCTGTAATTGTAGTATGTGCTATACTAAGGATAAAGAAAAATTCTAGGTATTCTTTTTTAGAGATTTTTGAAGGATTGTCAATTGGAGAGGAATTTTTAAAAATTTATTTAAGAATTCTTAGTCAAGTAAATTTTTAATAATTTATATTAATACTAGCAACCTTGTAGTCACTATGTGACTGCTGTGACTTATGACCTATGAATAAATAAAATTTTGCTTCATTAAATAATGACTTTTGTTAAATTGCGCTGTACTTTCTTAATTATTGACATTTTTAAAGATATAAGCTCATCCCGATGTTACTCTCATCAAGAGCTTTCATTTGAGTACCTACATGCATTTTTGATATATTTTTCATATATATATATATAATATATAATATATATAATATATAAATATATGAAAAATTGATGTGGGTATTCAAATGAAAGGTCTCGATGAGCGTAATGTCAGGGTGAGCTTATATCTTAAAAAATATCATTAGTTGACAAGATAACAACGTCCGTTCTTAATTATTGAAATTTTTAAAGATATAAGCTCATCTCGATGTTAGGCTCATCAAGAGCTTTCATTTGAGTACCCACATGAATTTTTCATATATTTTTCATATATACATATATATAATATATATAAATATATGAAAAATTGATGTGGGTACTCAAATGAAAGGTCTCGATGAGCATAATGTCAGGGTGAGCTTATCTTTAAAAATGTCAATAATTCACAAGATAAAAGGTCATTTTTTAATCATGTATCTAGAGATAGAGCATTGATTTTTCGAATGCAGCCTAAAAATTTATCATAATAAATTCTCTTAATAATATAAGATAACTTATAAGAATCCAAAAACAATATCAATTTTTCTCCAAAAATCCAGTTCTTTGAAAACCGCTTAAAAATTTAATAACTCATTAAAACTCCTTACTTTCCGTAACAAAAGTATAAATAAAACAGCACGCTTTGTTAATAAAATTTGCCTAATAATTTTTCGTTATTATTGTTATTATCCTATGATCGTGTTGTTTTGTTCAGGTCACTTAAAAACACAATCATTCACTGTTCCTCACACTGTTGACTCTACTGAAGGAACTTCGAAACATTTAAACAAAATAAACTAATAAAAAATCTAAAATATTCAAATAAAAATATAGATAGTCCCGATGTTAGTAACTTTGTTACGACTTTTGCTTCCTCTAAATAATCAAGTTTGAGCGTCTTTCCAACAACATCGGCAATACCGAAACATTGATGACGTGACAAAAAAAAAATTAATTAAAAAATAAGTCAAACTCTATTATATGAATGATCATAAAAAAAAAAAACTATAATATTAATAATAAAATAAGTTTTGAACAATATATAAACGATATACATGAGATCAAGATCGTTGTGTGTGTTGCAACTAAATATGCAAGTGGATGCATCAATCCCGTGGATCCTTACCCCATAGAAATGAAAATTTAAACCAGGTATATTTATATCAATAAAAATTAGCCTTTCATTATATTAATATTTATATTTTTGTTTTTTTAATCAAACAAAGCTGGTCATTTGAATTTAATATTTTTATAATTTATTAATAACGGGCTTAATAATTTTATTAACATGTCTTTCATTATAGCTATCGCTAATATGAATTAATTTTGTTTGTTTTTTATTAAATCAATTTTATTTCTCCCCTCAGATCTCTCGCGACTTTAATACGCTTCTTTTTTTTTTCTGTAAAGCTAGAGTTTTATTTCAATTTGGACGATCGCAACATAGAGCACATATGTTGTTTTATTTTCCTTAACGGTAGAAATAACTTTGTTCTTTCTATTGTAAGTTTTCCTTGTAAAAAGGTAGACGTTTTTCGTATTGGACGGCAAAAGTATATGCGATTTGGATTTAGTTTTAACTTTGCACATGACATAGCGAAGCTAAACTAGTCACTGGTGATGATATGCATTGAATAACTTAATGACAGTCATCAAATCTATTTTTGGCTATCCATCTTTACCCTTTACCAAACAATTTAACGTTTTGAAATCCAGTTGAATACTAAGTCGCCATTTAATTTGTAAAACAATTTCACCTAGCAGAGTCATGTGGAGCAAGTTTGCGCACTTAAGCATTCAAACTAGAGTCAAAATTAAACGATAAGCATGAAAGGAAAATAAAAATATGTCTCTGATAGAGTATTTATTCAGATAATAATTAAATAAATAAAAAAAGTCTAAAACCTTAACACTTCGGAAAAAAAAATGGATTAATCCGAATGATTCTAAATGCGCACACTTACCCCGTACTAAGGGAACTAAGTGGATTTTTAATGCCCTAAGCAGACTCATTTTAATAATACTTACATAACTTTATTGAGACATAACATAACTTCAAATGTTATGCTAAATAAAAAGCTCAGATACATTATTGACTGAAAAAAAATTAATTTACTTTAGTTACTATCCTTAGTACAGTGTGACAATCTTTGCCATGACAGAAAAATTAACCTTTACGCCACCAGATTCTTAATATTTTATTTTTTAAGTAAACGAATGATACCATATGGGTTTTTCTTGCATAAGCTAATTTTCCACCAACAAACCTTTAATTTGCGTACACATATCACAAACTTTCCCCTCCTCATTCATAAATAAAGGGGTTGCGCACTCCTTTATTTTTCATGAGTAAGTTTTTAAAGTAAAGATCCAAATTTGTTAATCTAAAAATAAATAAAAATTTTATTTTTAATACTTATGAGCTGCTTTCATCTTTCGGATTATTAATCACTTCTAGGCTTAAGAAAATTACTCTTGTTCAAAACAATATTATCAATTTTAAATTCGTTCTTGTTTAAAAACTCAATTATTTTGTTTAAATATCTAACAGATTCATTGAACCGATTAACAAAATTGAATGATGTTTTAAAGTGCTTCTTGGGAATGATTTTAACGTTGTCAATTTCTCGTTGAATTATCGATACATTTTTCACCGAAAAGATCAAAGTTTCCACCAACAAACCTTTAATTTACCTTCACATATAAACTTTCCCCTGCTTATTCATAAATAAAGGGGTTGCGCACACTTCCTCCACGTGACTCTTACCATACTTGTTACAAATTTGAGAATTTCCACCCTATTATACATATCTAAAATAATAAGCCACTTTGAATGTCTACGTTTCTTCCAAACTTGAAAACTAATCCAAGAAAATGATCTAAAAAAACAAGAAACCTGAAAAACAATGTTGGTCTTTCAGAAAAATTCACACCACGACAACGGATTATTTATCCACCCCACGATACCAAATGACGATCCAGAAGTACCAAATGAAACGACAATAAAAGAAGAAAAACTAGAATCATCAAATTCAACCTTAGGATCATCAATTACGTCAACTTTAAATACCTCAAATACCTCTACAAAATCAACTAAAAGCGATATACTCGATTCAGTATCACAGTTGCTGCCTAACCAGCTCGCAGATGATGATTTACTTAACGATAATCCCCCCGACGTACCTTGTAGCGTTAAAACGAAGCCTTACTACTCAATAAATGCAAAACTAGCTCAACGCGAACGGAAACAACAACAGCTCACTAATTACCAAAACGGGCCACATGCTAAGGACATAAGTAACTACAATAACGACGACGCTGTTAATGACGATCAAAATATTACGATAGATGATATAAAGAACAATGTTATAAGCGACTCAAATCTACGATTTCTGACGACAAGCACTGCTTCAGCCGCTGCGGTTGCGGCTGTTGCTTCGGGAAGAACTAATCAAAATTGCAACAAAACTAGTGTTACTTGTCTGATTTGCGGCAAACAACTGAGCAATCAGTACAACTTGCGCGTTCACATGGAAACACACAGCAATAGTTCTTACAGTTGTACTGCTTGTTCCCACGTATCAAGATCCAGAGACGCGTTGAGGAAACACGTGTCTTACAGACATCCAGTGGCAACTCCGCAGAAACGTCCGCGATATAGTCTCAATAAACCTGAAAATTTTGTGTGATTTAAGCTTAGAATTACTTTGTTCATTTGTTTAGCCAATTTATCTTATTGTTAACCTTTATTTTTTGTTTATTCAAATATTATTATGTTTAATTGTTATTTTATCTGACGATATGTTGGATTTTAATGCCAAAATTGGTTAATTGGTTTGATATATTTAATAACTAGGTAAATTTTATATTTTTATCCTATTATTTAGAATTTTTAGATATTTATTGTTAAAATTCAGTTTGTCGAACAAAAGTAACCTTGATAAAACATAACCTCTGATCTATTGACTGTATACAGTATTTTTGTAGAAATATTGGGGATTCCCCGCCATCTATGCCGGGAAATTTGAAAAATTCAAAATTTGAAATTTTGTGAAGAAGTTTTCTTTTTAAGGAGATCTAGGTAGTCAAATTTTTAAAACTTCCTGAAAATTTGTAAATTCAATCTACGGAGAATAATTAATAAAAAAATTAAAAAACAGTGTTGCGATTTATATTCACAGAATATTTTAATAAATTCTGGAAGTTAGTTTGTTATTTTTTGTTTTTGAGGTTATTTTGTGTTAAGGATTAATATCAAGTAACCAAATCAAGCAATGCCAATGAGTTTAATTAAAAAAAAATATATTTAGATTAAATGGTTTATTATTTAAATAAATGGGATAGTTTGAATTACTTTTAGTGGTTAAAATATATAGTTGTGTTGACAAAGTGCCTATATAATGAACAATAAAAAAAATATATTTAATACTACAAAGAAAGTAAGAAACAAAGTTGAAAAAAAAAAAAAAATTAAAGACAATTTTAATAAATTATTAATAGGATATTTTTATGGTATCTTTATCTTTAAAAAAAAAAATTAATTACATTTATATAAAATACTTAACGATTTAATAATGAATTATAAAAAGTCAATTGTACATAGCTCAACGTGACCTGAGATGACTGTTTGGATATCTAGTCCATAATGTTTTTTGGGGAGGGGGGGGGGGGGGGTAGGAAAACAAATGCCATATAATTAATAATTAATATATATATTAACAAGTGAAAAAGACAAAAAAATTAATTAATATAATGATTTATTAAGAATCAAGTAGAAAGAAAATTATTCTGGATAGAATATAGTTTTAATTATTATCAAATATTATTACTTTGTTGCGTAGATTATATTCAATTTTATTATTATTATTATTATTGTTCGTTTATTTTTCTTGAGATTTTATAAAAAAATATTTTTAAATTAATCTATTGATTGTAAAATGTTTTTTAAGAGAATCTCAAAAGGATTATTTTATGGCGGGATAAAAAACAAACATTTATAAAAATATGTTTAGTTAAATGATTATAAATTAATATATGTTAAAATTGTTCAGAGCTGGAGAGAAGAAATAAAAATAATTGTTACGTGTACTTTTTAATAAGTACTTTGTTTAGTGTTCAAATTGTTATAGTACCTTTTTCTTGTTGTTAAATAGTTTTAATAAAGACAACTTATTAAAACTCTTGTACTTGTGTTTTTTGCTTGTATTTTTATCCTGATAATCCCTATTCGTAATTTTAAGAAAATTTTGTCATACTATATTTTATTTTGTGAAGTTACGCCGAAAAATAGCGATGGCTCAAAAGTTTATGTATATAAGTGTGATATAACGCGGCATGTAAGCAAGATTGCGTCGACAGTTCTCAACCGATCTTTATGAAATTTTGTGGAGTTATTTTATGAATCAATACCAAGATCAAGTTTGAAGATGAGCTAAATCCGCCGGTTGGTTTACGAGTTGTGGGTGTTTGAAAATTTTTTTCATTTTCAAAAAATTTTTTATTTCGTCAATTTTATGGAAATTATTTTCCAGGTGGTAAAGATAGATTAATTCTATTAAATTTATCTTAAAGTTCACATAATTACCTTCAATTTAACCTGATATTTGCCTAATTTTGATGATTTTTTTAATTAATTCCGACTAATAAGAATGACAAAAACAGAATTCGTGTCCGATGTAAATAACTTTTAATGACATAGAAGTTGTTAATTTTCCATTTATCAATTTCCGCAAGACAAGAGACAATCGACTGATCGCGATCAATAATTACAAATATAATTAGAGAAGCGTGATGTAGTGATACAACTCAACCTCGACTTGGGAGCAATCGGTAGGTTGTTCTGTCACTTTCAGTATGAACTTCGGAAGACTAACTCTAGTGATTTTTTTCGCGGCAAAAATAACCGCGTCGTTTGACGGAATTAGAAGGAAATTTGTAATCGGAGAAACCGACGAACCTTTAAGAACTGACAAATTGAATGAACCCCGCTCAGTTCCGAATCAAAAACTGCTGATACGAGCGACGAGAATTGACGCTGATTTGAGTCAACACACAGTTCCTTATTTGGACCTTCAACCTGTAACTTATTCTACGGCTAAAATTCCTCTGAGTGGACTTGAGATAATTTATAAAGGAGTCAAAGGTTTTGGAGGATTTTTGGGCTTTAGAATATTTGCTTTTGATTTTACTGAGGATTTTAGATGGAAAATGCCCAACAGTGATTACAATAAATATCAACCTTATTTTCACGAAAATTTGATCTTTTAAGATTCATTTGAATAATTACATCTTATTAGTTTCTTTAATTATTATTATTATTTTATTATAATCTTTATTACTACTAAATACTTCTTTCCCTTGTGGAATACATAAATATTAAAATTAATTTATATAATTACTGTAAGACCCTTAGGAAGCTTTGGCTTCAGGGTTTAAATTCTTAAATAAATTAATAAATTAAAATTGTTGTTAAATTGTAACTTAATATTATTTTTTGGGAAAGAAGAAAACATCCAATTCTTTTTTTTTAATTTTTTGCCGCATTTTTTATATTTTTAAAAATAAATTAATACTAATTATAACTTTATTACTTAAAATGAATAAAATTTTTTTTAATCATCCACGCAATAGGTAAAAATTTATTTAAAAATAAAAATTAAACAATTTTTAAAAAAATAAGCGCGCTCTTATTTGAATTTTCCCGCGTAATTAAATAATAAGTCGATAACTTACCGGTCCAAAAATTAAGAGTGTTTTTGAGGATTTTCAGTGAGTAAATTTAATTAATTAATTAAATTATAAAGTAAAATAGTTATTTTTTTATAAAAAAAAATTTTTTTTTATTGTTTTTATTCGAAAAAATTGCAATTTAAAATAATTCGAAAATATGAGGCCATCTATATGACATAACGCAATTGACGTGGAAGCATTACTGTAGAGATTGTGGAGTGGATATGTTGATATTGTTATGAAACGAAATAAAACAATAATACACCTAGTGAACATATAGCGTAAAAATAATATTAAAAAGTTGAATCTAACATATTAAATATTATAATGTAAAAATGTTGTGAATAATTATAAATTAGTTATTTTTTATTTAAACTATGTAGTTTGTAATTAATATTAGGAATTCAATTGGCTGTTATATGTGATTACTTAAAGTGACTTTTAGGTTATTAGAATGATGAAATTTACAAACAAATTTATTTCACTTTATATTTTTAAGAATTAATAATGTTTTAGCGTTAAAAGTTAATTTTAAAAAATTAGTTTTTATCTATTTTGATAAATTATTTTAACCACTATGTGGCCGACGTATATTAGACAAAAAATATCATTTATATTACTTTTTTTAATCACTCCAAATGTCATTGGTGATGATAATAATCATGACATTGAGCCTTTACGGGTTTGTGGATCGTCAACGCAGGATTCTCCGTCCACCAGGTAATTTTTACCTTAATTATAATAAAATTTATTCTAATCAGCAAAAATATATCTATTACTGTATTTTAATTAAAAAATTTCTTTTTTTTTTATTTTAGATTGGTCTTCATAAGCACATTAGATGGAAAGCTGACCGCTCTGGACATTCTAAATAAGGGAGAAAAAAAATGGTCTATGGATTTTGATAATGTTCCTCTAGTTTCTTCAAGTATTCACAAAAGAGAAGTAAATACCTCCATTTATTTATTTATAATAATAAAAAAATTAGTAATTAGTAATTAGTAAAAAAAAAAAAAAAAAAAAAAACAGGTCAATATTAATAAATTCCATTACTAAAAAAAAATAAAATCCATTTTTAAAAACGTTAAAAAAATAATAGAAAAATTAAAAAAGTCGGCTAATTCTACCCTGATTAAACAAAATGATTTGATATGATTAATTTTCTAATCAATTTTTATCCTATCAAATCATTTTAAATCATATCTCTTATGGTCATTTACCATAAACCTATTTATTAATCGAACCTCCTTAATAAGTAATAGTATTTCTTCATAATAGTAGACTAAAATAACTAAAGAACAATAATTTCAGTTGAACGAAGATGGTCATTGGGTAAAATTGATCCCATCATTAAACGGTGGCTTATACAAATTCAATGGCGACACAGTAGAACAAATTCCCATTTCAACTGATCAATTGCTCTTATCATCCTTTCGTTACTCAGATAACCTAGTATTTTCCGGGGGTAAAGAAATTCAAACCTACGGTATCGTATCAGACACGGGAAAGCTTTTATACCATTGCACCAGTAGCGGTTGTAATAACAACACCGACGGTGATAGATTGCACAACGACGTGTTGGTAATCCAACGAGTCCAGCAAACAATCCGTGCCGTTGAACCGACAACCGGTACCGAAAAATGGAATTACAGCGTGGGTACCCATGAACTAAATTTAATCCCTACGGAAAAACCTTGCCATAAACATCCAGGTCATCACACTAACCACGACAATGACAATAACATTGATATCAAAGTAGTGATTCCTCAGGGACTAATTTGGGCGGTTGATAAGAAGAATCCCTCGGAAATTCTTTGGCGCTACCAATTCGATGCCCCAATTGTAACCGTATGGCAGCAAACGCATGATTACTCCTCAAACGGACATTACTATGACACTGTTAAGGAACTAAATTTATTTGATAACAAACAGTGGTCCTGGGGCCAAGATTACCCAATTAACCCTTCGATATACATCGGAATGTATGAACGCCAGGTTTATGTTCAAGAGAGCAATGTTGATAAGTTTTTCGCGCTAACCGATTTAACCAATAACCGCAAAAGCGTTCAAAACACCAAAAACCAAATTAATAACAACAACAACAACAACAACAACAACAACAATGTTTATCCCTGGAGACCACATCCAGCTCATGAAAATGCTGTTTTGCGCGTTGAAAATAACCCCGAAAACGTTGAAATTAGTAGCATTAACGTTGACGATTCAACGGCAGCTGGTTTGTCAATTTTGTACAATTCTGGGTACATTGACGGCAACGGGTACTATTTATACGCTAAAGAACAGTCGAACAATTGCAACAATACCACTAGCAATAACTTATTGAATGACAGTGATGATGCCATACCTTTAAAAGACTCTGGGTCTAATTCTAAAGCTGAAGATGAAACTTCATTAGAAACCATTATTGAATCCCTTTGGATTTGGTGGAAAGAGATAGTGCTTCTAATAATTGGTACAATTCTGCTAAACATACTTACCCAGCAATTAATAACATCGAAATTCGATAACTTAAGATGGGGCTATTCGCCGCCAATTATTGTAGAAAAATACGCAGACCCTGTAATTCCGCCAAAAGAAACGGTACCGGTTAGTTGTGAGAATAACAATGTAGAATTTGACTCTCCGTACTCTGCTAGGTTTGAAACGATAAACTGTTTGGGTAAAGGTGGATACGGAGTTGTATTCGAGGCTAAAAACAAAATTGATGATTGCCACTATGCTATAAAACGGATATCCTTACCAGATACACCAACTTCGCGTGCTAGAGTAATGAGGGAAGTTAAAGCACTTGCTAAGTTGGATCATCAGAATATTGTTAGGTACTTTCATGCTTGGTTTGAATGTCCTCCTCTTGGTTGGCAGAAGCAACACGATTCTGCTATCAAACAGCTTATGTCTAATTCGGTGTTTTCGTCCGAAGATTCGTGCTTGGAATCACGTCCTGTTAGAACTACTACAAGGGATAGTAATTCTGTTTGCATTGATGTTCCTATCAGTGGGTTAGATTTGATTGAGAAGGAATTGGAGAGCAAAAGCCAATTGTTGAGCGACAATGACTCGTTTATTGTATTTGATACGGACAAATCGGCTTCTACTGATCAGTCCGATGAAGTCGATGATGATGATGATGATGAGGATGATGATGATGATGATGATGATGATGAAGCTTTAAAAGTTGATGGCAATTGGAAAGCAGAAAAGTCAGTGTCTGATTCGATAGTCTTCCAAATGAGCGATTCGAAGGATAAGAATGAGGAAGTAGAATCTGATGAGACTGATGATGAAAATCAAAAAAATGTTAAAGTTAAGAAGAAGCCTGATTGTAACAAAAAATCTGCCAAGATGTTCTTTTACATTCAAATGCAATTGTGCCAAAGATTGAGTTTGCAGGATTGGTTGAGGAACACAAGTAACTCAGGCAGAGATCGTAAGGAAGTAATTAACATTTTCCAGCAGATTGTTGATGCTGTTGAGTATGTACATTTGCAGGGACTAATCCACCGGGATCTAAAGCCATCGAATATCTTGTTTGCGCATGATAATAAAATTAAGATCGGGGATTTTGGATTAGTCACCGCGAGGACTGAAGATGATGTTGTTTGCGTTGATGGGAATACTGATGATGATGATAGTAGTAGCGAAAGTAATTTGAGAGTTAAGAAACATACTGCTAATGTTGGAACGCATTTGTATATGTCGCCGGAACAAGTTAACGGGGTGATTTATGACTATAAAGTTGATATTTACTCACTTGGGATCATTCTGTTCGAATTGCTTGTTCCGTTTTCCACTGGTATGGAGAGGATAATGATTCTTGGGAGCTTGAAGAAGAATATTTACCCGAGTGATTTTGCTGCTAAACATCCTAAAGAGGTAAGCAGATTTTTGTCCTATTACTGTTTTATTTTATTACTTCAGAATTAAATGAGCATTATGGGTAGTGCAATTTTGAATTTTCCAAACTTTTTAACTAAAATTATACTGTAATATGTTTTTGCAGTATGATTTATTGAAAATGATGCTCGATAAGGATCCAAGAAAACGACCAACGGCGATAGGTATTAAAGCTCGTCCACCCCTGTCCAATGACCAAAATATAACAGATACAAAGTACCATTTTGCATTGCCACATGTAACCAGACATTCTTCGAGTGTAAGTAGTAGTAACAGCGCTAATTCATCGGAATTGATAAATTCTTCTTGATTATGTATTCACCATTATCATTTTGATTTGATCATTTTTCATTTTTTTCACGCATTTCATAAGTGTATTTTATAATTATTATTTTACTTTTTTCTTTTAATACCTTACTGAGCATTGACCTATAAAGTATAAATTTTAGGATTATTCAAGTAAATTTTTGTGATTATGTTGAAGACATATTTTTTTTTTTTTTTTTTTTTATCAATGTGGTAATCAAAGTACATTTGTAATGAAAAATATGTAAAATAAAACTAAATTTCATACAAAAGTTACTTTGTCTATAAATTATTCAATCTTTTTGTCAAATTTTGAATGATCTATGCCAAACAGTCGTAGTGAGATAACTCCTGGAGTACCGCTTAAAGTGCGGCTGCTACGATAAACAATTCCAATTCCAGAATAAGGAACCACGTTTTTTTCAGCTACTGGACGCGCGTCCAAGAACGGTGCTACTGATTCATTGAAATTCATCATCTTGGCCAATCTAAATTCCAGGTACTGATTTGGTGAAGAAATTACCTCAGTGGTAAAGTCACCTGCTGGAGCCTTTCTCTTTACTACTCGCTTAGCGGACCTGAAAGAATAATCTTAAATCATGTCGAGTCTATGAAATCTTAAGGAGATATGTTATCAAGTAAATAATTATTAACATTTAATTTTTCAGGAAGTTTTAACAATTTACCTGTTTGTATGGTAGTGACTGTTATGAGACTGAGTTATGTTATTAGCAACGACGGGTACATGCTGCTCTTCTTTAACCGAAGACAGAAGTCCTGTTTGGTAGTCAAACTTAGTCTTAGATACTTCGATCTGTATGGAACTAGTCGGTCCACCGTCTTCAGAGTTTCTGAACCTTACTCCAGTGATAATCCAATCCTTGTCCACGAGCACATCGTCCAGGTTCAGACGCCTCTTTTCATAGTTCAAAAACGTGTAGTCCACGTCTTTGACCAACGGAACTCGTGAATTGTTTCTTGAGGCCCAAAAAGCACCTTCAGATACATTCTGCTGGTAGATAAGAGTGTCAACAGGGACCCAGGCTCGAGTTTTCTCATCTAGCTTTCCTTGAGGTAGCAATTTAGCCTGTTCAATTTTAATTTGCACAACGTTGTCTTCTTTGATAAGCTTCACGTCTGAGATAACCCTTAATGATCAAAAACCACAATATTATATTATTTTTACGTTTTTCAACTAAACTGAGAGAAAATGCATTTATTAAACAAAAAATAAGGGTTAAAAATATTATTTTTAACCCTTAAAGGGGTTAAAAATAATATTTTTATTTCGAAACTTATAATCACAGATCTAACTTTCTTCCAAGGAGAGAATTTAGCGATCATGCGCCACCTGTTGGAGATTTTAAACACTACAGTAGGTTAAAAAATTATAAATAGGAATACATGGCCTTTCAGGCCATGTACATTGAGAGAAAAGTGCATAATTAGCTAAATTATAACATCACAAGTGTCAAAATATTTCTAAACCTTTTTTTTTGTAGTTACTCTAACTATGCATTAGTTTAAGAATTGATAAATAGTTACATCGACTATATTTTAATAAATATTATTCTGTTATCATGTTAAAGAAAAAATTATCTGACTGAAAGGTTGTTACGGAAGATGTCTCAGATAGCTTAGCTAGAAGAGCCGTTAGTGCGTAACCAGAAGATCCGGGTTCGAATCCCGGTCTGGACTATCCGAATTATTTTTTCTGTTTTCTCAGTTAGTTAATCAAGATGACTATTAAGCCCATATTTATCTAAAAATAGTTTAACTATTTATTGGGGTGCAATTTAATAAATAATTTTGGGTATAAGAATTTCAATTAAATAGTGGTGATGCTACAAAAGTATATTTTTGTAGTTCAGAGAACCATATTTTCTTCTCAGTGTAATTAACGTCTTGATAGAATTGATGTCTTTATCAATTCTAGCTACTTACATGTTATTCTTTACATCTGCACTCTGCTGTAAGAAACTGACCGTCCTTGTAGCAGTAGATTGTGCACCCTCTTCAGAACACTGACAAAAACAGTCTAAGCATATGCTTCTGGTCATCATATTGACTAATCGCCCAGGGCAATTCTTCCGCATGTCTTCGGTAGGATTTCTTAACAGCCAATGATATCTTCTTCCTCCTCCGGGAGGCTGTTTTAATTTTTATCTTTAATTGGTATTATATTCTTACAATTAATCCAGTTATACTTACGAGTTCGCAGAATTCTTCATAGTTCTTTATGAAGCATTTGTGAATTCGGCCGTGGCACGGTTTTGCGGGACAATATTCCGGTACTTGCAAGGATTGGGTATCTTTTGAATTCTCCTCTTTCAAGCAATTTAATTTCTCGACAGTATTTATATTAGCGCATGATAGCGAGCAAGTGTCATTTCCTTTGAGTTGGCTTGTACTTATGTAGATATTACTGAATAAATCGGTGAACGAGAAGGTATTGTTGCCTACCAATAGAAACATTTTTAGAGATTTTTTTTTTATATTAGTTAATAAATAAAAATAATCCTTAATTTTAAACTTCTGCAGAGAAATATGTGAATGTTTTAACATACACTGAGAAAAAAACGCATTCTAAAAATTTACTTTTTCGAAAAATATAAAATTACACGCCTCATATCACTTATTAAATTTTTAAGAAAAAAATAAGTTGTATTAAATAGATAATTCAACAAATTTATTCAAATATTCAGCGCCATTTTTATTTCTTAATTTTTCTTTAATTCGTTTTTTTGCTCACAATAATGAAAATAGATATTGATATTCTATTGTTAATAAATTATTGATTCAAAAAATCCCCGTTTGGACATAATTTTTTTTTCTTAGTGTACACATGCAAACACATGCGCCAAAATTTGAAAAACTTATATTCAAGGTTTTTACCCGTTAAAGCATCTGAAAGCTGCGGCTGAATTACTTCCATATGGTTACCTGATGTTAGATTATACCCGTCGATGTTTTTAAATCCAAGTGCCAAAATTAGGCACAAAAATAAGTAACAACTCATTTTTTTTTTTTTTTTTTTTGATCTGCGAAGTAATCATTGATTTTTACAATTTATAATTTTGAAGAGCTTAATGTTCTTGATTTGAGTAGAAAAATTTTTGAACTAATAAATTTTTCTTGATTTAAGGAAATTTTTCTTGTTCCAAGACAATTATCCTCTTCAAAATTATTTTCTTGGTTCAAGAATTTTTTTCTCAAATCAAGTTAATTTTTTTTTTTTCAGTGGGGCTTAAAAGTAAGCTTGAATTATTTTTTTTTAATAAGCCTACGAAGGTAAGCTAATTTTCCAAAATTTGACATGACTTAGACAATTCTAATTAGAAAAAGAGATTTGGAAGTATTACCTCAATCCAAAATGTATACCTATGTATTGTTCAGAACAAATCTTTTGGAATTTTTTCAAAACTTTTGATTCATTTTAAATTTATTTTTTATAATCTTGTACAAGATCACGTTTTAATGATACTTTATTATTATATCCTTATTAGGACAATTATTGCATTGTATACGATATAATAACATAAAACATACCTGAATGATCACAAAAGGAATTTGAAGAATACTTCGGTAAGTATATGAGGATAAGCTCCAAAAATTACTTGCTTCTTGTAGACGTACTTACTTTTTTTGGATTATAGTAATGATATTTTTTATAACAAAAGTTTTTATATTACAAACATGACAAAGGTTTTTATCTTCGTAAACAAGATCATTAGTGCTATGACGTCAATTTTTTATATTAATTTAATATATAATTATAGAATAGCGCATGACGTTACCGATGTTGCAACATTACTTTAATTAGTGACAAAAAATGTAATTCAATAATTGATTTAATTACCGTTTGGCCAGATTAACTTTAGCATGAAATAAATTTTTTATCTATCTAATTATTTAACGGGTAAAAATGGATAAAATTTTGATAAAAACTTATATTTATTAGTAATAAGTAATTACAAAAAAATGGACCCGATAAATGAGGCGCATCAATCTCTCAGCGAATCAATGTTAAGTTATTGGTTACCTCTTTTGGAAATGTATAATATAGTTATCCAACGAGTTAAATTGACTCAAAAATATTACAACGATTTATACTTCCACGAGCGGGAGAAAACTCAAAATAATTCACAGAATTACACCGGCGATCCTTGGTTTATTGAGTATGCATTAATTGGGTTTTATCAAAACTTTGATGTTTTTAGTAAAAAATTGAAAAAATGCATCGATAAAATTCAACGAGAAATTGACAAAGTTAAGATTATTCTTAGCAAAAAGCACTTTAAAACATCATTCAATTTTGTTAATCGGTTCAATCAATCTGTTAGATATTTAAACAGAGTAATTGAGTTTTTGAACAAGAACGAATTTAAAATTGATAATATTGTTTTGAGCAAGAGTAATTTTCTTAAGCCTTTGGAAGTTATTAATAATCCGAAAGATGAAAGCAGCTCATAAGTATTAAAAATAAAATTTTTATTTATTTTTAGATTAACAAATTTGGATCTTTACTTTAAAAACTTACTCATGAAAAATAAAGGAGTGCGCAACCCCTTTATTTATGAATGAGGAGGGGAAACGTTTGTGATATGTGTAGGCAAATTAAAGGTTTGTTGGTGGAAAATTAGCTTATGCAAGAAAAACCCATATGGTATCATTCGTTTACGTAAAATATAAAATATTAAGAATCTGGCGGCGTAAAGGTTAATTTTTCTGTCATGGCAAAGATTGTCACACTGTACTAAGGATAGTAACTAAAGTAAATTAATTTTTTTTCAGTCAATAATGTATCTGAGCTTTTTATTTAACATAACATTTGAAGTTATGTTATGTCTCAATAAAGTTATGTAAGTATTATTAAAATGAGTCTGCTTAGGGCATTAAAAATCCACCTAGTTCCCTTAGTTGCGCAAATTTACCCCACACGAGTGCGCGCACTTACCCTTAGTACGGGGTAAGTGTGCGCATTAAAGATGTAAGCTCACCCCGACATTACCCTCAGTAAGACCTTTCATTTGAGTACCCACATCAATTTTTCATATATTTATGTATACTATCTATATATGTATATATGAAAAATATATAAAAAATGCATGTGGGTACTCAAATGAAAGCTCTTTTGATGAGTGTAACATCGGTATGAGCTTATATCTTTAAAAACGTCAATAGTTAAAAAAGTACAGCGCAATTTAACAAAAGTCATCATTTAATAAAACAAAATTTTATTTATTTATTAATAAATCAATTTTATTCACATTATTAATAAATTAATATACATTGCACCAATTAAAACTACCCATTATTATTACTTAACAAAATCACTGCACTTAATAATAACTTCATGAGGATTAATCCCCCCGATCTGCGTCCCAGTCCCTAGAATCAATCCATCCCTCGCATTATTAACCGAGTATACATTATCTTCGCTCAAAAACCTCCTAACATTAATATGCGCGCGTTCTCCAGTCAAAGCCGTAAAAGGAGTATCCAAATCTTCATTAACCATATTAAAGTTCCTCCTGTACAAGAACACAGTCGATCTAATCACCAGCTTGAACAAATTTTCCAGATCGTCGATCGAAGAAACGGAAAAACTCGCCGAATTCAGCCTATAACAGTACAAAAATTTGAGCGTGTTAGAAAACTGGATGACCTTATCATCAATGCGTTCAACCAATCTGCAGTCGGAAAAGAAGTAGATCTTATCCACTAATGGCGACAAATTCAAACAGCCTAACGTTGACCAGTAAAGTTCCTTGTAATGCCGACATTCCCGGTAGAAATACAGCTCAACAATAAGATCAGTGTAGAAATAATAGTGCACTGGAGTATAAGGTAGCTTCAATTTTCCAAAATCATCAGCATTGAACAGTTTTATGCGAAACCAACAAAACTTGCTGCCTTGGTGCAAAACGGTCACGTCTATTTCCGGAAGAATTGGATGCTTCAATTCTTGATTTTCAACCACACCAGAATTGGTGTTAAACTTTGAATTTTCCTTCGGATACAAAACCTTGGTGTGCTTGACATTCAAAGCTGCTTGCGCAGCATGGCTGTGCATGTCAATCGACAGAATTATTCCAAGCGGCAAAGCGTCCAAATTGTTCAAATTGTTCTTGGAAAAAATCAGTTTCTTCAATTGCAACATCCCTTCTGAAGGAAAGGAAGACTTGGACAATTGCTCGTTGAACTTCTTTATCATAATTGGAAGACTCAAACGATTCTCCAATGACAATGAATACGTTTCGACGATCATCTGGATGTCTTCTTTGAAGTTAACAAGATCTGGGTACATCTTCAAGAGTGTTGATGTCAATTCGCGCTGCTGTTGTTGAAGCTCCTCATAGGTGGTCTTCACTACTGTCAGGTTTTCCTCGCTTTCCATTTTTCTTTGGCTTCAAAACTTTCTTGGGCTTGGGCTTGACTTTTGTCAAAGGAGTTTCTAAGTTTGATAACTTACTGCTGAGACCAGAAGCGTTGATTGTGAACAATGGTATGCTTTTATCTGGCTTATATACGCCGCACATTGTGTTGATTGAGTCATCTATTTCTACGTTACTTACACAAGTTATCCGAGGTAATTCGATCAGTGGCAAGGACATAATTTTGTTATCAGCACTTAAGTCCTCATTCTTCAATTTGTCGTATGAAGAGTATGATATTGTTAGATAAACGCCGTAGTGAAGCGACTTGCGAATTGGTTTTACGATTTTGAAGGTAGGATTGTGGAGAGCTGCGTGGAGTTTTATTAACGAGTCGGTTAGGTAGTCTATTTCTTCGGTGAATGTTAGAGCGCATAATGGGAGCTGGAAGATTCCACTTACTGATCCAGGGTCTGGAGAAATTATTGGGTCCATTTTTTTTCTTGAGCAGAACTAGGTTTAATTGTTTTTAAGAGTTAGGAAGGAATAATGCGAGGTTTGAGAATTATTTTACTATTCTTTAGTCGGCAGATTACGATTGAGCTTAAAAATAAATTTATCGTGGTGAGATTGATAAGTGGAATGAATAGCGACAATATTCGTAATGTTGTTGATATGAATTATTAATAATGGCTAGATAATCATTTTAGATACTGATAATAAATGTATTTTGTCGAATTGATTATTATAAGATACACGGGAAAAAGTAAACTGTAATAAATAACAGTCGATTTATAATAAGTAATGATCAACTGCTAAAAATTACCATTTCAAACAGTAAAATTGTGATTTTACTATTCACTTTATAATATTTACCATTTAAACGTTACAATTTACTCTTTACATGGAAGAAAATACTATTTCAAACAGTAATATTCGCTATGTAAATGTCAAAAATGTTTAAGTATAATAATTAACAATTCAGACTTTGATATTTATCATTTCGTAGCTAAAAAATGATGTTATGATATGTAAAAAGTATAAAATAAAATTAGTAAATTTCTAATACAAGCAACGTCAATATTTACAAAGTAAAATGATCAATTTTAAACGCAACGTTAAAAATCAAACTGTAATTATTGACTTGCTTGGACTGGTAAAATGTATATTTTAAAAGTATAATAATTTTTACTATTTCAAATGTTAAATTCTTCCAGAGTGAGAGCCCCTTTTCTTTCATCTGAGTTCCCCTTCTCCTCATAATATCGACTATATATTGAAATGGCAATTTTTACTGTTTGAAGCTGTAATTTTTTAAGATGAAAAAGTCGTTATTTACTATAGTGACAGCTACTAATCACTTATTGTTGGATATTAAATTATAAACTGTGGCTTTTATACTTTCTACATTAAGTTCTGTATATTTCGCATGAAATGCCTCAATACCTAATTTTGTTTCTATAAAAATTTATAAAATCGACAGATATGTGTATTAATATAATTTCAGTATCATCTTTTAAATTCAAATTACCGCGCTTGTCATATTTTCTCTACACAGATGGCGGTAACACCCAATCCGCTTATTTTACACAGAGATGAAATAAGACATTCTCATTGGTCACCTGTAAGGACGCTAGTGATTGGTGGTATGTAAAAACTCTAACTATAGTTAGTAAGTCATATGTAAATCGTAAACGTATTAACGTATACGTTACGTTGAGGTAAACAGTGGAATATGAAGTAGCTGCGTTTTCTTATAAATCATTCGTCATAATTATAAAAATAGTTCATTATATTTTGGATATATATTGATAAATATATATAAAAGTGTCTGAAGATATTACAATAATAAAAATTTCTAAGGATAATTATATACATTGAAAAAAAAATGGGCCGCAAGCATGAAAAGTAAGTTTTAAGGTTAAGTTTATGTTTACTTTAACCAAATATACATTTATATATTTTTATTAATTAGGGGAGCTTGGGGTCGCCCCGGTCAGCGGGTCGCCCCGATCACCAACATTTAAAAAAATCTACTATACCTTAAATTTTGAATTTTGTTTTATTTTGTACGCTTATTCAGCTGAGAGTAAAAAATAGATTCAAAACTTAGAAATATAGTATTTATTAGTAATAATTAAAAATTAAAAAATTGATTCCCATTTGATCTAAGAATCGGAATCATTTCCGTAAGGCTTTTAATATAGTTTACAGCAAGATAAAAATTTATAATTTTTATGTATATAATCTATAAATCTTCCTTTATAAGTGGGAATTTTTATTATACTGTTATTATTAATCGTTTTCTTTTGAATAAAGTTTATTTTCTCAACTATCGGTTGGGGTCATACCGGTCAAAGCTGTGGTGTTTTCACCGGTCAGTTTATTCAATTGTTTATTGTTTGACAGCTCGTGTGTTTATTTAAAACTAACCACTATTTTGTAATTAATTAAAAAAAAAAAATCACAAAAGAAGCCAGTTAAATTGTCCGATAATGTTAATGAAGAACTCCAAACAAGTAAGTCAGCAGAAGAACCTAGAAAGAATTCAAGGAAACGAATAACTTCCACTCGTGCGACGGATAAATATCAAGTATGGCCTAAAAAAACGCAAATTAGTTAAAAAACAGAAAGTTTAAATGTTAAAAATTACCAATATTTAATGTTATTTGCTGCCAAAGTTTCAATAAAAAAATTAATTTTAAATTTTTATTAAATTTTAACAATATAATTCGGAATTTCTAATTTTTAAAATAAAATTAATACTGACCGGAGCGACCTGCCTAATGACCGGGGTGATCCAACACGTTGGGTCGCCCCGGTCAAACTCATTATTTCTATAATTCCTCAAATATTTTTATTTATCTTCATACTTATATTTTTTAGTAATTGCATTTAGTTCTTCAGATGTCAAAGAATTGAATAAAGTCTTTTTTATTATTCCAAAATGATAATTTTAATATTTTTTTAAATTCACTTCTTAGGTGACCGGGGGGACCCCACACTCCCCTAAGTATATCATTTTTTCATCTTTAATTGACGATAAATAATATTATAAATTATAAAGAAATTTAATTTGAAAAAAATTAGTTTTCTAATACAGTTTATTTGACAAAATAAAAATCTTATGATATTTTATTGAACAAATCTATGAAAATTTTTTATGACATTAAAGTTAGCAGTCATTTGACCATTTTTTAATTTTATTAAAAACAAAATAATTATGTTAAAAATTGCATTTTTAAATTTCTACATGTCAATTTTTTTTGCTATAATTTATTTGTTACAAAAATTATTAAATATCTGCTGAATTAATTTTTATAACAAATTAATGATAAAAAAAATAGTTTTTTTAATTTTCATGTACAATTTTTATATGAATTATTTTTTTTACAAAATTTGAAAATAATTTCAAGTAAAAATTACAAAAAAAAAATTTTTAATTATTGAAAAAAAATTTTGATAGTTTGCTCATAAAATTTTTTTTAATTAACATGTATTGATAACTATTATTTTCAAGTTATTAATGGATTTATGATTAAGAATTATGAAATTTTTCAGATTCTTTGTAAGATCAAGCAAGCAACGTGTTTGCAACATTATTCCGATGGTATGTATATAAATTCCCTGAATATAAAGAAGGAATTAAAACGATCTACAAAACCAAATTTTTATATCTATATTCACAAATTCAGATATATAAATAAGTGGAATGAGCCCACTGGAAAAAAAAAAAAAAAAATTAACTTGAATTAAGAGAAAAATTTTTAAACCTAGAAAATAATTTTGAAGAGTTTCATTATTTTCAATCAAGATGAAAAATTATTGAACTGAGTAAAATGTCTTAGTTTAAGAATTCTTTTACTCAAATCAAGAAGATGAAATTTTTCAAAATTATTTACTTGATTCAAGCTAATTTTTTTTTCTATCAAGGTATACTGTTTCCTGAGCAGTTATTGGGGCTCTTACCTTTTTTTTTTTCTATCAAGGTATACTGTTTCCTGAGCAGTTATTGGGGCTCTTACCTTACTTAGAAATAGAAAAAAAAAAAAAAAAGTGATTATTCAGAAAAAAAAATTTTTTTCTTATTTAATATTTTTAATTTTTTTATAGTTCCAAATTAAAAAATTTGAAACTTCCTATTACTGCCAAAAGTATTAATTTTAATTTACAAAAATTTATAAAGCACATAAAAAATAACAGGGATGTAAACCACAAAATTTTTATTTTAAAATTTATCGTCAATATTTAACCCATTTTGTTATATCAAGCTTATACAATCAGAACATGATAATAAATAAAATGTATTTTTGTTTCAGAGACCGCCATCACAAGAAACGTTCAAAATCAAGATCTCGTTCGCGCTCAGTAACACCAGAAAAAAAACGGCACCGTTCCCGAAGTCGTGAGCGCACAAAGAAAAAGTCATCCCGCCGTGACCGACGAAGCCTCTCACGAGATAACATTCGACGAAGCCATTCCCGAGATTATGACCCACTGCCTCATTCACGAGATCGTGATCGAGAGCGTCGGGATCGCAAGCGGGAGCGAAGACATGGTGATAGTAAAGAAACCCCCTCAGACCCAAAACCACGGAAGCGCTCGCGGTCAAAAGAACGTAAAAACAAGGAGAAGCACAACGAGGAACTGCCCTTTGACCACACCAAACTCGACAAAGACGAGGAACAGAAACGGCTTGAGCTAGAAATGCAGAAGCGTCGTGACCGTATCGAACGTTGGCGTTCCGAACGGAAGAAAAAGGAACTGGAAGATTCCACAAACGACGCAAAGCCAAATCTTGCTGATCTCCAGTTGCCGTCTAAGAAATGGTCTCTGGAGGATGACAGCGATGAAGAAATTCCTGTGGTTAAAAAGGAAGACAAGCCAGAAGTGGCAGAGGTGGTAGATCCCATTGATGAGGAAGAAATTGATCCTCTTGATGCCTATATGGCTGGCGTCCAGGAAGAAGTCCGAAAAGTTGGAAAAGTCGCGCCTAAGAGCGGGTCTAATGCTAATGGAAACAGTAGCGGAGTGATGATAATCACTGGAGTCGCTAGAAAACGAATTCAAAAGCAGAAGGGAGAGTTGATTGAACAGAATCAGGACGGCCTTGAGTATTCCAGTGAAGAAGAGACTGAAAACTTGCACGAAACAGCCGCTGGAATTGCTAACAAGCAGAAGCGCGAGTTGCCTAAAGTAGATCATACTAACACTGAATACTTGCCGTTCCGCAAAGCTTTCTATGTTGAAGTCCCGGAGATTTCCAGAATGACTCCTCAGGAGGTAGAGTTGTACAAGGAAGAATTGGAAGGGATTAAAGTTAAAGGCAAAGGGTGTCCTAAGCCTATAAAGTCGTGGGTACAGTGTGGAATCACTAAAAAAGAGCTAGATGTGCTTAAGAAACTCGGCCACGAGAAACCCACTCCAATTCAGTCCCAGGCGATTCCTGCCGTAATGTCCGGTAGGGATTTGATAGGAATCGCCAAGACGGGAAGCGGTAAAACGCTTGCGTTTTTGATGCCCATGATTCGGCACATTCTGGATCAACCTCCGGTAGCGGACGGAGAAGGCCCTATTGCGTTGATAATGACCCCGACGCGGGAGTTGTGTATGCAAATTGGCCGGGATTCAAAGAAGTTCACTAAATCTCTGGGACTTAGGCATGTGTGCGTTTATGGTGGGACGGGAATTTCCGAGCAGATTGCGGAGTTAAAGCGTGGGGCGGAAATAATTGTATGTACACCGGGTAGGATGATTGATATGCTCGCGGCTAATAGTGGTAGAGTGACTAATTTGAAGAGAGTGAGTTATGTGGTGTTAGATGAGGCGGATAGAATGTTTGATATGGGGTTCGAGCCCCAGGTGATGAAGATCATGGAGAACGTTCAGCCTAATCGGCAAACGGTTTTGTTTAGTGCGACCTTTCCGAGGCAAATGGAAGCTTTGGCTAGGAGGATCCTGCAGAAGCCGGTGGAGATTCAGGTAGGTGGAAGATCTGTAGTTTGTAAGGAGGTTGAACAGCATGTGGTTGTTCTTGATGAGGAGCAGAAGTTCTTCAAGCTTCTGGAGATTTTGGGGCACTATCAGAACAAGGGCTCGGTTATTGTTTTCGTGGATAAGCAGGAACATGCTGATATGTTGCTCAAGGATTTGATGAAGGCTTCGTACGCCTGTATGTCTTTACATGGTGGAATTGACCAGTGTGATAGGGAAGCGACGATCATGGACTTTAAAGCTGGAAAGACTAAGCTACTAATTGCGACTTCGGTTGCTGCTAGAGGGCTGGATGTTAAGCAATTGGTTTTGGTGGTTAATTATGATTGTCCTAATCACTATGAAGACTATATCCATCGGTGTGGAAGAACAGGTCGGGCGGGTAATAAAGGGTTCGCGTATACTTTCATCACTCCTGAACAGGAACGATATGCTGGGGATATCATTCGCGCTCATGAACTAGCTGGGGTTCCCGTTCCGGAGGAATTGAAGGAATTGTGGTATAAATATAAGGCTAGGTTGGCGGCTGATGGGAAGAAAGTTCATACGGGAGGCGGGTTCAGTGGAAAGGGATTCAAGTTTGATGAGTCTGAGGCTGCGTTGGCTAATGAGAAGAAGAAGTTCCAGAAAGTGGCTTTAGGGTTGCAAGATTCTGATGAGGAGGATATCGAAAGTGAGATGGATCAGAAGATTGAAATTATGCTGGCGCCCAAGAGGAGTATCAAGGAAATTTCGCATCCGGGGATTTTTAGTCAGCCTGGGCAAGGACAGTCGACTGCTACGGATAAGCTTAAATTGGCGCAGAAGTTGGCGTCGAAAATTAACTTTGAGAAGAATTTGGGCCCGGAGGCTAAAGGAGTCACTCAGCAGGCTGCCAAGGCTATTCTTGAGGGAGCTAGATCGATTAATCTTATCACTGTAAGTATTTTTTTTTTTTTTTTTTTTTTTTTATAAATCTACACGGAAAGAACAAGATTATACTGGATATAATCCCAGATTATACTGAGAATAAATTTCAGATAGTAGCTAGTATAATCCAGATAACAATGAGTATAATCCAGATTACGATGAGTATAATCCAGATATTATTCAGTATAATCTGGATTATACTAGCTACCATTTGAAATTTTTTTCCGCCTCAGATGTCACTGAGTATAATCTGAGATGGTATCCAGTGTCATCTTGTTTTTTCCGTGTATGTTGTAGTAATGTTTTAATTATTAATGTAGATCTGATAAAATTAGACTAATAATTAAACGTAATTTTTATTTTTCAGCCTAAAACTGTCGTCGCACAAATAGCAGCCAAGATCAACACCAAACTGAACTACCAACCAAACGACGAAGATCTTTTAGTGGACAATAATGAAGTCAGAGAGCAGACTTTCAAGAGGTACGAAGAGGAGTTGGAAATAAACGACTTTCCGCAGCAAGCACGTTGGCGCGTTACTAGCAAGGAAGCACTCGCCCAAATATCAGAATACTCCGACGCTGGGTTGACCATCAGAGGTACTCATGTTCCGCCAGGAAAGAAGCCACCAGAGGGTGAACGGAAACTCTACCTAGCCATTGAGTCCACCAGCGAATTTGCTGTAAGCAAAGCCAGAGCCGAGGTCTGCAGGTTAATCAAGGAAGAATTGATGAAGATGCAATCATCGGGTGCCCATACTGGCTCGCGCGGACGTTATCAAGTTTTGTAAATTATTCATTCTTATTTGGTCGTTCTGTGAGAGATACTTTTTTTCTATGTTAAGTACTTGTACGGTAACAAATCAAATGTTTAATAAAATATTTATTTATATTTATTATGGATTTATTTTTTCACTTATCATCACTGCTTATGTGTTATTAATCATATAAATTAAGCTAGGGTTTTTTATTTGGATAAAATTTTTTCTTTCTTACTTTATTTATTAAATTAAAACTAAAAAATATTTTTTTATCATTAGAAACTTCAAGTCTTAAAGTACCATTTAACTTTCTTTTAAATTATTTTTTTTTTCTATTAAAAAAAAATTACAGCAAAAAAAAATTTTTTTTTAATCACTCAAGTAAACTTATACAAGAAAAAAAACTTTATTACTGGTTAAAAATTTTTCAGTTTAATTCCTAATGTCTAAAGAAAAAAATATTTAGTTGCTCTCTAGTCGAAAGTAGGTCAAGGTGAATAAATGAATTGTTAAATAAATAATTGGTATGAATAATTGGTAATTTATAAACTTAAAAATTTTAATTTTTATAAAAAAAAAATAAATAAAATAGCGATTTTATAAAAACTTCAATTAATTTATGACCAAATTTGTCTAAAGCCCATTAAAAGATAATTTTAAATTATCGGTAGTGTCAATTTAATATTCTTATCGATGTGAGCTCTAATCACTCATTGAAATGTCGGTATTTAACGCTTACACTTAAACGCCGAGTATTACATCCAATAATTTAATGTATTATGTATTTAAAGGCGCGTATGTTAGTATAACGTAAAATAACGTACACAAGTATTATATCTTAAAAGTTTACGTTTATATTGAACAGTAGCTCGAATCAGCGCTCAGTTACTCCGAGACCTTCAGAGAAGATTATATTACATTCCAGTGTGTCAAAGACAACAATCATGAGGTACGAATAATAATTACAATTATTATTCAATTTTTTTAGTGTATATTATTGTAGTAATACTTTGTATGTTGTGTTTATAAATAGCTTTTGAAAATTTAAGATAAAACGCGATTAAACATATATTATGTGCATGTAAAAATAATGTTTTAATTTAATTTATTATCTTATCGTTATAAAAATAATCGTTTAACAAAAAAAAAATATTATTAGGATAAGTGAAAAATACAATATTTTTGTTTTAATTTAATTTAAGTGTTTTAAGAAATTAAAAAAGTTTTTTAAAAATATAAATAGACTACTCGAACGTAAAATAGGTTGATCTACTGCGTTTGTAATTTTTTACGCGGTCTAGATATTTAAAAAAATTTTTTTGTAGACTATACTTGTATATAAGAGAAAAAAAAAAATTGAACAATTTTTTAATAAAAAAATTATTTCTTTGCTGAAGAAATAAAAATTTTTTTGAACAGTAAATTTATTTAAAAAAATTTTCTAAATTTGTAAAAAATAATTTTTTGATGGAAAAATTTTATTAAATGTGTATGTAATAAATTTTTTTAATTGCGCTGGTGCAATATCACTTACATTGATTTTTCTATTGAAAGTGATATTATTAACATACATCATATATTAATACAAGTGGGAATATGATCGACAAGTTCAAAGAGTAGTTATTTTATTATTATTATTTTGCAGTGTAAGATATCGGAGTGATGATATATATATATATATATATATTAGTTAAAGATACTTACGCAAATTAAAATATTAAATAAATTAAATCATAATAATTTAATGCTAATTATAATTTAAAGAAACTATCTTTAACAAATTGTGTCTTATAATTTATTTTTTTTTAAATAATTTTGTGATGCTACTTTGAAAAAAAAAAAAAACGTTTTGAAAGAAATTTTACGTGAATTTTCGGAGGACTGTATGGTGATTTTATATGTAAACACGATAACTCGCGAAAAAATAGATGTATCGAGACCGGGGTTTTTTTTATTAGTTCCAGAATTCGATTAACTGCTGCCGTATTTAATATCAGTATCCCAGCTTACGTAGTTTTTTTTTAAAAATACATTTTTATTAAAATTCATAATGATACACACGTACAAAAAATAACTTCTTATTTCTCTCACGTGAAAACTATGGCGCCACTAGATTTTTTTAGACGCGCGCATATGACAAGAAAATTAGGCGGCAATAATTCAAAAAATATTATAAAATACTCTGTAAAAAATAACTTAATTACGCTGATTTTATATGTAAACACGATAACTCCCGAAAAAATAGATGTATCGAGACCGGGCTTTTTTTATTAGTTCCAGAATTCGATTAACTGCTGCCGTATTTAATATCACTAGCCTAGCTTACGTAGTTTTATTTTTAAATACATTTTTATTAAAATTCATAATGATACACACGTACAAAAAATAACTTCTTATTTCTCTCACGTGAAAACTATGGCGCCACTTAATCAAGTTAAAATTAGGCGCCAATAATTCAAAAGAAATTATAAAATACTCTGTAAGAAATTTTAATAATTTTAGTAACCGCAAAAGAACATTGTCTTACCGACCATGGGGCTCAACAGAAGACGGAGCAATAGAATTCGAATCATTGACATCGACAACACTAGAAGGCGCCTTGAATGTAATTAGAGAATCATTTTTTCCTGAAGAAAGCGTATGTTTAGGATGTGACATACAATCCGAACCTGGAGCGTCAGAAGAGCTTGAACAATTGTGCATGTACACTGCAAAAGATGGCGTCAGTGTTGTTGCAATCGATGTTAAAACAATGGAAGTTGTTGGCGTCGCTTTCAATAAACTCCATGTAAAATTTATTAACAAACTTATTAACATTTTCGTAATATTAAATCGCATATTTAAGAATACTTATCGAATTTCAGAAGCGCTTGGCCGCTGATCAAAGAGGCTTCTTCGAAGAATTCAGCGAAAATTGCAAGCACAAAGCCTCCAAGTTTCTCGTTGATTTCATGATAAGTGTCGACGCAAAGGTTAACCTTTTCAAGCACTACAACGTCGACTGCATTCTGGAGATAATGTTCCTAGCAACAAAGCCGAGTTTTCAAAAGAGAAGAATCGGCGAATTGTTGGTTTCTTCTTCCCTTGAATTAGGAAGACAATTGTACAAAGGAATGCCCGTAAAGACTGAAGTGGAGATTGATGAACTGCCACTCACGAATGCAGATGCTGTTCCTAGTCTTGTTTCGGCGATTATGACCTCGAAATACTCGCAGAAAATAAGCCAGAAAATAGGCTTTGATAACCTTGCTGAAGTGAGCTACGATGAGTACACGTTTGCTGGAAAGAAGGCTAGTAAACGGATAGGAAATTTTCATAAAACTGCTCGGCTTGTTGCGAAAAGACTCAATAAGAATTAACTTTATGGTAATATATGATACTACCTGAGTAAACAGTATTAACCTGTTTTTGCGCTTGGTCTTTGCTGAGGTTCTAGTAAAATTATATAAATTTTCATCAAAACTACACGGAAAGAACAAGATGACACTGGATACCATCTCAGATTATACTCAGTGACATCTGAGGTGAAAAAAATTTCAGATGGTAGCTAGTATAATCCAGATTATACTAAATAATATCTGGATTATACTAATTGTTATCTGGATTATACTAGCTACTATCTGAAATTTTTTTTCACTCAGTATAATCTGGGATTATATCCAGTATTATCCGTGTAAACAGAAAGAAAAATTTCTAGACTGGAGAACAAAATTCTTGGCTCAAGAAAATTTGTCGGGGGCCTGAAGGTAAACCAAAGTTGTGTTGGCTGAAGTTAAAATTTTTCTTTAAATAAATTTTCTTGAACCTCCTTAAGGACTGATGAAGTATAATTAAGTGCAAAATTATAAAAAGTTACTCGGGAATATTTTTATTTACACACAGATCTGTTTTTAGATCCACTTTGAGCTCAGTTAATCAAATCTGACCTCAAAATAATTTAAAATTAAAGCAATTGAGTGTAAATTTGCACTCGATTAATAAAGTCAAATTTAATTTTTTTTTAAGTATAAATATATAATATATTAACTTTATAAAACTGTTAATAATAATTGTTTGAATAAAAGTCTAATTTTGTACTTGATATGTTAAAAAACATTAAATAATGATTGATTCATAAATTTTTTCAACCATCTGAAATAATATTCATTCATTATTTTTTTTTTTTAAAGCTAACAAAAATTTTTATTTTTATAAATCAATGTTTGTGGAAATCGATAAGAAATGCATCAGTATAAATTTTTGGAGCTGATATAAATTAAACACTCTTTTCTTCGACGGCTAAAGATATTAATAACTGAAATTTGTTATAAAAAAAAAAAAGTTAATTTTTTTCATAAACTATAGTTTATACTGAACTGCAAATTATTGTTAAGAAATTACGGCAAGATGCGTTTAGCATACGTTTGTTTAACGGCGGCAATAGTTGCTTGTGTAACAGCATGTTGTGACAATGATGGCAGGAAAGCTATGTAAGTATTACAGTTTTTAAATTTTTCCGCACTCTTATGAGGTGGTTATAGGCACGCGCGTCAACGTCTATGATTCTAACTAAAAACATTGCGCGTGAGGTATTATGAACTTTACCCACTAGTTACGCAAATAACTAATAGACCAGTAGAGTGATGTAAGGTAACTGTAAGCGGGTAAGTGTGCGCAATTCCTTTACTTATGAATAAGGAGGAGTAAGTTTGTGGTGTGTAGACAAATTAAAGGTTTGTTGAGGAAACTTAGCTCAAATTTTGATTTTTTTCAGTGAAAAATTGAAAAAATTTAACGAGAAATTGACAAAGTTAAAATTATTCTTAAGAAGCACTTTAAAACATTATTTAATTTTGTTAATCGGTTCCATGAATCTGTTAGATATTTAAACAAAATAATAGAGTTTTTGAACAAGAACGAATTTAAAATTGATAATATTGTTTTAAACAAGAGTAATTTTCTTAAGCCTAGAAGTGATTAATAATCCGAAAGATGAAAGCAGCTCATAAGTATTAAAAATAAAATTTTTATTTATTTTTAGATTAACAAATTTGGATCTTTACTTTAAAAACTTACTCATGAAAAATAAAGGAGTGCGCAACCCCTTTATTTATGAATGAGGAGGGGAAACGTTTGTGATATGTGTAGGCAAATTAAAGGTTTGTTGGTGGAAAATTAGCTTATGCAAGAAAAACCCATATGGTATCATTCGTTTACGTAAAATATAAAATATTAAGAATCTGGCGGTGTAAAGGTTAATTTTTCTGTCATGGCAAAGATTGTCACACTGTACTATGGATAGTAAACTAAAGTAAATTAATTTTTTTTCGTTGAAAATTCTAAAACTTCTAAATTTACTAGTAAACATCTAATTTTAAAGATATCCCGAGAAAAAATATTTATATATAATTATATATATTTATATATAAATTGGTTATATATGAAAAATGGCCAAATATAATCATATCTAATTATATATAACAATATTTAATTATAGATTTATTACATCTAATTAATTATTGGGTTAATTTTATGGATAGAGTATTTAATATGGTCCTACGCAATTCTGTGTAACCGATCAAAATGCAAAAAAAATATCTAGATCTAATTTTATGGCTATAACACCAGCGGTCACCCATCCAACTATTAACCCTACTCAATGCTGCTTAACTTTGGTGATTTCCATGCGTCTTGAAGTTTCTGTCTGCTGTGCTGCTATCTCAGACAATAATGATTCTATGATCTACTTAATGTATCATATGAGTTTATCATAAATATAATATAAAAATTGATTTTATAATATATTTGGATAGTCATAATTCATAATTTATTTATCTTACCGAATTTCATTATAATAATATAACACTTATTTAAATAATAAAATAAATAATGATTTCACTATTACGTAGTAGCAGAGCAGACAAAACATCTCATAGGAAATGTGACAAATTTTGTATTTCAGAATTATTTAAACGTAATTATAAACATCATTTTACACTTTTTGTGATTACCAAAAAAAATTTTTTTTTCAAACAAAAAATTTTAATGTATGTTAATTATATATAAGCATATATAATTATATATGGGACTATGTACAATCTTGCATAGCTGTATATTGCTCCATATATAGTCATATATAATTATATATGATTATATATAATTATATATAATCTTGCTTGGCTGTATATTGCACTACATATAGTCATATATAATTATATATGTTTATATATAACCTCATATACAATTCCATATATAATCATGTATGATTATATATAATTTTATATACTTATATATATTTGTATATGGAACTATATATAATCCTGCATGGTTGTATATCGCTCCATATATAATTATATATGATTATATATAACCTCATACACAATTCCATATATAATCATGTATGATTATATATGATTATATATAATTCTATATAATTATATATGTGATTCCATATATAATCATATATGATCATATACAATTATATATGATTATATAGAAACCTTTTTTCTCGGGATAGGTATCTTAAAATTTGTAAATTTCAGATCATGTGGATCGATGACCAACGAAAATATTACAATCGAATCACTTACCAATTCAACATTGGAAGGAGCCTTAGAAGTCCTAAGAAAATCATTCTTCACATTTGAAAATGTGTCTACGGGATGTGACTTATTAAGTGAACCTGGAGCATCCGAAGAACTGGAACAGTTGAATATTATGGCTGCTTACGATGGAGTCAGCCTGGTCGCTAAAAACCAAGATGATGAGGTCGTTGGTATTTGCATCAACAAACTAAACGTAACACTGACTAACTTACACAATATTTTAATATACTTTATCAAAAAAATCCACATGAGTTTATATGGAAAATCCACCATAAGAAAGTATGGATTCCTATTGTGAATTTATATAAGTGGAATAAACACCTTGTAAGAACGTGACTTAGGCCAGTGAGTAGCGTAGAAAACTGTCAACCATAAGGTACCGGGTTCAAGTCCATCAGACGCCAGTAGTTTTTTCATTATATAAAATTACAAAATCCGTTTTTCAGAATTAATTTCAATTAATAATTAATTAATAGCAATTAATTTATAATTATTTTTAATTTTTTAAATTAATTTTTTTTCGCTTAATTAATATGGGAATCTATCTATGGATTTTTTTTGATAGGGTATCGTGTTTTTCTCCGTTAAAACCAACAGAAGATTTTATTTGTTCAGGTTCATTCAAGCGAAAACCAAAAAAGCTACCTAGAATTATTCAGCGAGCAGTGCAAGTACAAATCTTCAAAATGTCTCGTTGACTTTATGATCAGCATGAGTAAACGACAGAATTTTTCCGAACGTTACAATACTAACTGTACAATGGATATACTTTCTTTCGCGACGCGACTTGACTACCAGAATATTGGAATCGGGGGAAATTTAATTGCTAATGCATTCGACTTAGGACAGTGTTTATCTCAAGGAAATGATGTAAAAGTTTCTGCTCATCCCGACGGTAAGACAATCACCAATGCTGATGCTATTCCTGCTGCGTTGACTACAATAATGACGTCTGATTATTCACAAAAAATTTGCGTTAAGCTTGGGTTCGATGCTTTTGCTAAAGAAAGCTACGACAATTTTACTTTTGGCGGTAAAAAATTCAGCGAAAGAATTATGTATGGCTCCAAAACTGCCCAAGTTTTTGCAAAATCATTTAAGAAATGTTGATTTGGAGAACTTCAATAAACATAGTATGGAATTTTATTCTATTTGCTCAAATTTGTTGATGAAAATTTTTACAGTCTAAAGCATTACTTAAAAATTTTTTATTATACATTTAATTATTTGTGATTATTGAAATAAAATTTTAATAAAATGTTACTTATGAAAATTACCTGTAAATTATAATAAATTTATTTTTTAAATTTTGTCCGTTACAAAATTTATTTTTTTTATTTAATTATTTAGATTATAAATCGATTATTGCTTAAAATAATAAAAAAAAACACTAAACTTCCCTTTAAAAACACATTTTATCATCTAACCACACCGGAGACAAAATTTTCCTTGTCTTCTTAATCATAGGTAAGTTCCCGAGAAAAAATATTTATATATAATTATATATATTTATATATAAATTGATTATATATGATTATATATGAAAAATGGCCAAATATAATCATATCTAATTATATAAAACAATATTTAATTATAGATTTATTACATCTAATTAATTATTGGGTTAATTTTATGGATAGAGTATTTAATATGGTCCTACGCAATTCTGTGTAACCGATCAAAATGCAAAAAAAATATCTAGATCTAATTTTATGGCTATAACACCAGCGGTCACCCATCCAACTATT